GTGGGGCAAATTTCCGGTGTATACATTTGGTAGTGTCGTAAGTAGTGGAAGGGCGCTATCAGTTAGCTTCATATTGCACTTGACTTTGCTATCATCATGGTAGACTTTTTAGAAAGTATTGTTCTTGATTGTTGCACAAAAGAAAGACCTTTTGACCGGCGACTCTCCAAGCAGCTCGGCATTTATTGTATGCTCAGCCTCTGCCTTTATCCTGTGTTGGCCTCAAGGAAGGGAATTTAACCGAGACCTCGTTAATAGCGGCTTGGGGGTTTACGCACTGTCATCCACGGGCACCAGGGAGACACCCACTAAGCCTAAGCCTAAGTATTCCTCAATGACCGATAGCGTACAAGTATTGTGATAGAAAAGTGAAACACCTCTCACAGATGAACAAATAGTCCATTTTCCGTCAAGATAGGGGAAGGATTTCATTGGAATGAGTTTGTGGTAGATGTTTTTGACCGAAGCGCTTTCGGGTCTTAGTAGCTTATGAGTCAGATGCTTCTTACCTTTCCGATCCGATCTGTGGTATGAATTTTGATCTGACTCCAGACCCTCCATCCATGAGACCCGGGAAAAACGAATCAATGAAATTCGATGCAGTTAATCCTAAAAGACCACTCTTTCGTCTAAGGTGCCTAATCATCACACCGATCATTCGGGGGCAAAGAGGTAGGCACGAGAATTCCTAAAATGCGGGATTAAAAAAGGTCCTACACCAAGTAATTAATAATGTTGGAGTGCGACCAGGGAATATTGAATGCCGGCCCAGCTGTTTACCTACGTCTGCCAATTTCAACTAATAAAAAAAGTTCTTCCTTTTGTTGGTTTTAGATTGGTATTGTTGTTAGTCTTTGGTTTCTTGTTCTTTACCCCCTAAGGAACTATGGGACCTTCAATGAGCGGCTAAAGGCCATGATATGCAAGGAAAAATATCACTCATTCTTCCATTGGGGACAGGTGTTGGAGGAAGGTGGAAATGATGTCAAGTCCGCATGGCCCTTATGGGCTAAGCCATGGACTGGGGCTAATGTACGGCCTAACCAAAGCGTCACGACAAGATTCGGAGGCCGAAACTATAACGGTCCTAAGGTAGCAAAATTCTTTGTCGGAGAAATTGCAAAAATATTTTTATTAGTGTCTTATAATACTAATATAATGACATTTGCATAAGAAATTATACAAATATAAGAATATTTTTAATGTTAAATACAATGACGCAAAACATAAATGTAACTCTTGCCGGCAGACGGGGGGAGTATTATAAATTAATTTTATATTCAAAATATCACATCAACACCTATTTATATCACATCATACAATTATTTAAATTCAAAATTTTTATTATTCACATCTTAATCCAAAATCCAAAATCCCAAACAAGCAAACCCATATTACTTACCCTTACCGGCCAAATTTAGCTTGCAAAATTGAATTTGTTTTCAAACACGAGCCCGTTTAGTTTTTAACATGTTCTTATTATTTAATTGAAGTAATACGGGCATGCTATAGTAAATACGGCCGTATTTGTTACATATTGCATACTGCGTCAGTTTTTCTTATATCACGTCAGCATGTTATATTATAAATACAATGATGATACCAAAAATAACTAAAAAATATTACTTAGGATCACTTTTGATGAAAAAATTTCTATATGACTAAAATTAATTAAATGATAATTGAATGAGATAAAAAATAATCGATAGTTTTTTTTAGTATTTATAGATAGTATTTTTATTATTATTTATAGATAGGTTACATACACAAAATCACGTTTAATATCTCGCCCACAAAGTAATTAATTGGGTAATTTATCTACCGTCAGATCACACGCTGAAAAAATCTCAACCGTTGGTACTATTTCCAAAGTATGGTGTTGTGGGAAGTGGCACTTCTTATTACGAAGTACAAACTTTGAATCCGAGCATCATCAGTTTAATTGACGATTGTGAGAATGTCGAGCGTCGAAGACGATATAAAGCCGGTGGATGCATCGTCACACATTAGTCTCAAGTGAAAGGAGAAGTTTGTGGTTGTCTAAGCCTTAACTTGCTTTCTTCCAAAATCTTTTACATGAGCGCTTCCGATTATTGTTTTATTTTATGTTATGCAGTTTTTGTTGGTTCGCGCTGCGGTTTATTGCAGGTTGTTGTTCTCCGAAATTATGAAATGACGAGTAGTTGATAGGTACAGTTGTTCTAGGTTTTGACTCGCAAGCTTCATATGCCTATGCGTATCTGATCGTTTTATGTGCTGATGTTTGGTGGATTTATATGTTGAAAAGATCGCTGAAGCGGTTTTTTTTTTTTTGGGAACTTTTGTTTTGGTGATTGTTATTACAATTCAGGTTCATGCGATTGCGTTCGCTCGAGCAATTAATTGTGGTTGTTTGAAGCTAAATGTAGCTATGATCTTCACCTGAAACAATTAATAGTTTGTCGTAAATCTTATATTCTGTTTTATTGTTCTTATACACTCAATGGTATAAATTCATCTGCAAAGTCTTTCATTGTAATTGTTGTCTCAATTATCTTCTGAAAACCATGTATTAAATTAATGTATTGGTTGATTCTCTCGTTAGATATCCTCATCTCCTACAATATCACTGCAATCTTACTGTTGCAATTTGATACGGTCACTTCAAAATTTTTCTATATGTATGGAATCTATGCCGGTGGTTACTTATTTGATTCCTTGTTGTGTTGCAAGATGGGAGTAAATTGTATTTCAAAATTAAGAAGACCGTACAATTGAAGAAGCTCATGTTTACTTGCTGCAATCATCGTTCTTTGGATCCTAACTCCATTGCATTTTTGTTTGATGGGCGTCGCATCCGAGCGGAGCAGCAGCTAGATGAGGTTATTCCATTTTTCACTTTTCATGTCATTATCACCTCAAATCCAGTCCATCCATAGATTATGGTATCGCTTAATATCTTAAATGCAACATTGAGTTACTTATTCAACTATGTTTGTTCATCTATGTCCGTCAACAGAGCCTAGCTAATTAAACCGATTGTCTTAACATAACATATATATATATATATAATTATATGTTTTTGCAGTTGGAGATGGAGAATGGAGACGAGATAGATGCAATGCTGCACCAGACTGGGGGTGTAGGGACTTGTTATTAGCAACAATGTAGAGATTCTCTTGCTAGTCCTATCTTATCCTATTGTTCTATTAGTTTAGGTAACAAATATTGTGTATTTGTCTGTCTATGTTGGTGCCGCGTATGTTTCTTTTGATGGGTTTAAAAAAATTTTGATTTGAATTTGATATTAAAATAATGTATGATAAAATATTTTGTGAGAAAAAAAAAAAAAGCAATTTTTTTAAAAAATTGCAAAGTTTAAATAGTAAAAACTTTATATTTGAGATAAAAGAAACAAACTCCCAGTTTTGCTCTCTTTGTTCTTTTGGATTTGAAGATAATATTTTATTTATTGGTGCATTAATATTCCTTTGACATTTTACCATGATTATGCTTAAGTATATATTAATTTACTTTATTACGAGCTTTGTTTAGATAAAAGTTTTTGAAAGTTTTTGAAATTTTGAAAATTTGTGGAAAATAAAAAGTTAGCATTTGATTTGATATTTTTTAAGAAAAAAGTGTATTTGATGTGATATTTTTTTTTGAAAAAAATGAATAGTGTCAAATGAATGAAAATGTATTGACAATGTAATATTTTTTATATTTTTTTAAAAATTATTTGATATATATATTTATAATTCAACAAAATATTTTTTACAATTATTTTATAATATAAAAAATAATTAATTTTTAATATATTAAAAAATAATAGTAAAAAAAAATATAAAAATAATAATATATTAATATATATTTTTAATTATCATCTTATATATTTTTCAAAATTTTTACTGAAAACGATATAGTAAAAATTTTAAAATAATATTTTAAAAGTTTTACTATAAATTTTTAAAAATATATATAATGATGATTATTTAAAATATATATTAATATATTATTATTTTTACGTTTATTGCAATTATTTTTTTAAAATATTAAAAATTGATTATTTTTTATATTAGAAAATAATTGTAAAAAATATTGTTGTTGATTTATAAATATATATATCAAATAATTTTAACAAAGAAGTAAAAATAATAAAATAAATATGAACACGGGCACGATCAAAGCAACAACGGTCGTGTTCAGTGCCAGTCAATTATCTTAGAATTAAATTGATAATATTCATTTGAGTAGAACAAAAATTGATAAAATTTTTTTAATGAAATCAAAATTGATAATTATAATATTGAATGTGACTAAAAATAATTTTTGCTCACACAAAATTTGTGTAAAATATAATTAACGAATAATTAAAAAGTATATTAATAAAAATATTATTCATATATAAATATTATATATTAAAATTAAAATAATTAATTATTTAATTAAAAATTATTAATTATAAAATTTAAAATATAATAGAAAATATAACTATTTTATTTTTTTAAAATAACATAAAACAGATAAAAATAAATATATTAGACAAATAAATAAAATGAGATAGAGATACTATAAAATTAAGAACTAAAATACCACCATGTCAGCGACGACGTTGAAAGATGGGGACATCAATTTTTATTTTGATTTCTTACATAGGTGGGCCCTTATCACAAAGTACTTATTAAACATGCGGACCGTCCCAGTGCAGGGACCTGAAATCCGGACATGATCCAACCCGTTCATTACGGGGAAATCGTATTGGACCTACAAAATTGACGGTTCAGATTAATCAGGAGCCGCCAAGTATCGTTAATTACAACTTCTGTCCTTTTTCTTACAACTAACACAGCAGCAACTGGGATTCCAACTTCAGAACACTACTGTAGATTACAATCTATGTCATCCAACGGTGTAGATTCATCCGGCGTAGAAGTCCAAGGAGCGCTCAGTAAATACCCGGCGCGAAAACCCTCCTTTCATCTCGTGTTTCCTCTGCCTTTGCATCCCCACACGAAGGTCGGCGTTGTTGTCTTTCGACTTTCCGTCCGCTCGAAGCTCTCGCGCGCAACGATTTCTGCGTTGGCCTTTGAGAAGGAGACGGAGCGGAAGAGAATCCATGAGGATTGGAGCGATTGTGGAAGAAGGATATGTGTGCGAAGAAGAAGTGCATCTGACGGTGTGGAAAACTTGCCTCTGCTGAAAGGGCGAAAAATAGGTTGACGGGAAACCCTAGAAAAACTCTTGATCTTTGCTTTCGTTTTGACTCACTTGCCGAATTCCGAGGTAAAAGTTTGCTTGTGTCAAGTTGCCCTCACTGCTTGGTTTTCAATCTTGCACTTTCTGGTCGTTACTGCTCTAGGTTTAAGCTTCTACGAGGGTTTTGCGATGGGGGAAATCAGTAATTGTGATGTGATTTTGTTGAAATTTGAAGGTGTGGGAATCCGGAGTGTTTGCCGATCTGCTGAATTCCGGATTTTGTGATTGTTTTACAGGATGTCGTCTTTAAGTAGAGAACTTGTATTTTTGATTCTTCAGTTTCTAGACGAAGAGAAGTTCAAGGATACTGTGCACAGGTGAGTCTGGTCTTCATTTTTTTCTTTGTTTTTGTGTATGTAATTGATTCGAGTGGTTAATGGAGGGTATTTATTTATTGCGTGTGTTTTTTAAAATGATTGAAGACTGGAGAAAGAGTCTGGGTATTTCTTCAACATGAGATATTTTGAAGATATGGTGACAAATGGGGAATGGGAGGAGGTAGAAAAGTATTTATCTGGTTTCACGAAGGTTGATGACAACAGATACTCCATGAAAATATTCTTCGAGCTCCGAAAGCAGAAGTATCTCGAAGCCCTTGACAAGTGAGCGCTGAGATTTGTTTTTTCCTGGATGAGAAAATTGGGGATAAGAATAATGCTTTTGTTGTTAAAAAATATCTTTTTAATTCTTTTACAGGCGGGATCATGCTAGGGCTGTGGAGATTCTTACGAAAGATTTGAAAGTATTTTCAACGTTCAATGAAGATCTCTTCAAGGAAATTACGATGCTCCTCACCTTGCAGAACTTTAGGTATAAATGAATGGAGTTGATGTTGGAATGATAAATGTGGTTACAATTGTGTGGAAGAATTACACATATTTGAGATTATGGATTATTGCTCATTTTTCTCTGTTGTTGTTTAAGGTTTTGAATTTTAAAAAATGCTTACAATATGTTACTTGAAGGAAATTGTTGCAGTTAAAATGATGGCAGGGTTTGATTGTTATTGCTTACAATTGCTATGTTTGCTGACGCAAATGTATACTGCATTGTAGGAATTAATAATCTTAAGTGTTCTATTAAGGTTTTGTATAATGGCGAATGGGTTTGAATTGAATGCTAGTAACTGTACCGTAGAGTGTCTATAGTGCACTTTTTACATGTGGATTTTGGCTTCTGGATGTAATAAATCCTGGCAGTTTCTTTAGTCACATCATTGTATTAATTTTAATATTTCATGCCAGGGAAAACGACCAGCTTTCGAAATATGGAGATACCAAGTCAGCTAGAGCTATAATGCTTGTTGAGCTAAAGAAATTAATTGAAGCTAATCCTCTGTTTCGCGAGAAGCTTCAGTTTCCTACTTTAAAGAACTCAAGATTGAGAACACTAATCAACCAGAGGTTAGCAGTGGAAAAGATTCTGTAAATGGAGTGACATATGTGCATATGTATTATTTTTGGCTATTTAATGAGATAATAATCAGAATATTTATGCTTGTCATCGGCTTTCAGCTTAAACTGGCAGCACCAACTTTGTAAGAATCCAAAACCCAACCCTGATATAAAGACTCTCTTTGTGGACCATGCTTGTGGGCAGCCAAATGGTGCTCGGGCTCCATCCCCAGTTGCTAATCCATTAATGGGTCCAATGGCTCCGATGGGTCCAATGGGTCCTAAAGTTGGTGGGTTTCCACCAATGGGAGGAGGTCCTACGGTAAGCTATAGTGGAGACTTTTGTTGCCTGTCCCTGTTATTCTGATGAGAAGATAAATTTTATTGAATATGTTGCCATTGTTGTTTTCTTAACAGCCATTCCAGCATGCTCCAGCTCCATTGACCGCATCACTTGCAGGATGGATGGCCAGTCCATCTGCTGTGCCACATCAAGCTGTTTCTGTCGGACCTATGGGATTAACTCCCCCCACTAATCCTGGTAATTATATTTATTCTCAATTGTGATTACTTCTAAAGATTTTGATTTTTGACCACTTTTTTGGCATTACTTTCCCTTTTTATTTTGTTGTAGCCAAGGTTTTTTTTCTAGCATGGAATTGTGGAATCATAACCTTGGATCGAAATGTAATTGTAGTGTGTTTTCTTGTAAAATCCCCCTTCTCTTGCTGACCAGATTTATTGTACCTAATCAACTGTTTGTCTTGTGTCGAAATGTCATGGTAGTGTCTATGATAAAGCGTCCTAGGACTCCTCCTTCTAACAATGCAGCAATGGACTATCAAACTGCAGATTCCGAACATGTGCTGAAGAGATCAAGACCTTTTGGATTCCCCGAGGAGGTACTGCTCCCTGTTTGAGATATTGGATTGGAATTTTATATATCTAACATGAAAATAATTGTTGAGTTCCAATAGTTACTTTAAAATTATCTGGTCATGAAATGGCTTGCAATTATTCAAGTACTTCTCAGAGATTTCTGTTCACTCTTTGTTGTAGTTTTCTTCTGTTTTTTGTGATACTTCTATAATACCTTCCATGAAAAATTTCAGGCCACAAATCTTCCTGTCAATGTATTGCCTGTTGTGTATCCTGGTCAGAGCCATGCCTATACGTATTCTGCTGATGACCTACCCAAGACTGTTGTAGCAAATTTGAGTCAGGGTTCTGTTGTGAAGAGCATGGATTTCAGTCCGGCAGACCCGACTATACTTCTAGGTTAGCTCATGCTATTGTTGGACACAATCCTCTACATTTATGCAGCAAATGAATAGGATTACAAGAAATCTCTGCTGTATTAGCTTCACTTCTTTCATTTGGTCTTTAGGGTTTGAACTTCATGACATGATAGTTCTCATGCAATTTATTGGATATTGTATAATTCATGCATGGATTACACCCCGGATCATTCGATAGGAATTCCTTTTCATTAAATGGTTTGGAGTATAGAGGTGGTTGTGTGTCCCAAATCCTTAGAATATCACAAAATTTAATTGTCCTTTGCTCCTTTATTTTTAGTTGGAACTAGTACCGGTGAGATTTCTCTCTGGGAAGTGAGTACTGGGGAGAAGCTTGCATCTAGGGAATTCAAAGTGTGGGACGTTGGGACTTGCTCAATGACACTTCAGGTATGGCGGTTCTGTCAAATTTGTTTTCTTATCTGCAAGTGAAGGCTAATATGTGGGCCTTTTTCCAAGGCATCTTTGGCTAATGACTTTACTGCATCTGTCAACCGTGTCGTGTGGAGTCCTGATGGAAACCTTGCTGGTATGAAGTTAAAGGATTCTGTTTTTTTTATATGTATCATTCTACTTGCAATATATATGATTCTCTAATCAATAGTTTATAACTTATAGCTGCATAGAATTTGTTGTTGTCGCTTACGCTTTGGTTCTTGAAAATTTGGTCCAGGTGTTGCATATTCAAAGCATATAGTTCACCTGTACATTCATTACAGCGGTGATGATATAAGGAATCGCCTTGAGGTTTGTGTTGGCATTTTGGGAGTATATTTTCATAATCTGATCTCTGTTTCCAACACTCAAGAAGTATAAATATGAAGACCAAATTTATATTTGTTTGGTTAATTTTTCAGATTGATGCCCACACCGGTAGTGTCAACGATCTTGCCTTTTCTTTCCTGAACAAGCATATGTGCATCATAACCTGCGGGGATGATAAGACAATCAAGGTCTGTATATATACTATAGTAAATTATTTGACATTTGAGTTTAACTTTTTCCAAAGGGCTGATTGGTTTTTGTATAGGTGTGGGATGTTATCTCTGGTGCTAAGCAGTATACTTTTGATGGTCATGAGGCGCCTGTTTATTCCATATGCCCACACCACAAAGAAAACATTCAGGTAATTTTTCTAATGCGAATATGTACCTTTGCACACTCCTTTTCTCATTTACATGTTCTGTTTTTCCCCTCGGCATTTTTTTTCTGGTCTGTTTATAATATTGTGGTATTTTCTATTTCAGTTCATCTTTTCAACTTCTGTTGATGGAAAGATAAAGGCTTGGTTATACGACAATATGGGTTCAAGACTGGATTATGATGCTCCGGGTCACTCTTGTACCACCATGGCCTACAGTGATGATGGGACTAGGTGCATAAACCCTTCTTATTTATTTATGTTTATTTATTTATTTTTACTTTGCATTCTTGATCATATTTTCCTAACACTTCATTATTTATAACAAACGGTAGGCTATTCTCCTGTGGTACGAGCAAAGATGGGGAATCATTCATTGTGGAATGGAATGAGAGTGAAGGAGCTATCAAGAGGACATATCTTGGTCTGGGCAAACGTTCTGTCGGTGGAGTGGTGCAATTTGATACAGTGATGAACAGGTTCTTGGCTGCTGGTGATGAGTTCAAAATTAAATTTTGGGACATGGACAATGTAAACCTTTTGAGTAGCATTGATGCTGATGGTGGCTTGCCGGTAAGAGTTAAAATTTTGTTGTGCCTTGTGCATTTCCTGTAACCGTTTCGAAGAGGAACTAGTAACCACGGTAGCTACCTTTATTGTCCAGTAGGCTTCTCCTTGCATTCGATTTAATAAAGGAGGGAGGCTATTGGCCGTGTCGACAAGTGACAATGGTGTTAAAATACTCGCAAATGCTGATGGTATTCGATTAATGCGCTCCATGGAAAACCGTGCTGGCTCGACTGCAAAGGTAACTTTGACATTCCCCATTTTGATGAATCTGAAACTAGTTGGTTTTAATTCAACTGTTTGCTCTACAGGCACATACAATAGGTGCATCGGCAGCTTCTAGTTCAGCAGTGGGGCCTGGTGTCGGCCCCGATCGAAGTTTACCAATGAAGAATGTTATAACATTGGTGAGCATTGGCTTTTTCTGATTTCTTTGCAGAAATATTAATTATTAAAAGTAGAGCTGACAGTGAGTCGATTCGTGTCGGATTGAATATTTTAAACGGGTTAAATAACTCAACTCTAACCCAACCTTTTTATCATCGTGTCGATCCGTGGTGACCCGTGTACATAATTAAATCGAAATTCTTAATTCAAATTCAATTATCTTGTCATATTGTCGTGCTATGTTAGTTTTGGTTGGTTCTAGTATAATGCTGCATAATGAATTATGTGGACTAATTACTAAATTATAATTATCTTACATATATAATAAATATATTATAATCGTGATGTTGTGTCGGATTTGAGTTGAGAGCCTCAACCTTAACCCGACCCGTTTATTACCTGTCATTACCGTATAGGGTTAGTACCAACCCGTATATCTAATCGAGTTGAAATATTTGATCAAAATTCAATTATTTCGTATTGGATTGTCGTGTTATGTTAGTTTTTGTTGGTTCTAGTATAATGTGCATAATGAATTATGTGGACTAATTACTAAATTATAATTATCTTACATATATAATAAATATATTATAATCGTGATGTTGTGTCGGATTTGAGTTGAGAGCCTCAACCTTAACCCGACCCGTTTATTACCTGTCATTACCGTATAGGGTTAGTACCAATCCGTATATCTAATCGAGTTGAAATATTTGATCAAAATTCAATTATTTCGTATTGGATTGTCGTGTCATGTCAATTTTTGCCAGCTAATTAAAAGACAGATTAACCACCTTTTACCTGTTGGCAGAACGGGGAAGGCAGGAATTTGGCTGACACAAAACCCAGAATATCTGATGATCTGGAGAAATCAAAGATTTGGAAGCTGACTGAAATAACTGAACAGTCTCAGCTTCGGTCCTTGCGTCTTCCTGATGCTTTGTTGGCCGTGAGGGTATATATACATTAACGATCTTTTTATATTCCATTAAATTGCTGTGTGCTTAGAGGGCATCTTTTCATTTCAGATTATTCGGTTGATTTACACAAATTCTGGCAATGCCATTTTGGCGTTAGCATATAACGCCGTCCACAAGCTTTGGAAATGGCAACGGAATGAACGAAACTCTACCGGAAAGGTGCTACTTTTTCGGAATCTTATTATCTTTCGCTCCCCTTGTGCCCGCTGGATTATATTGTTTTCGTATTTTTCCTTTGTAGGCGACGGCTGCAGTGCCGCCTCAACTCTGGCAACCTTCTAGTGGAATCTTGATGACCAATGATATAAGCGAGACAAACCTCGAGGAAGCCGTGCCGTGCTTTGCACTTTCCAAGAATGACTCCTATGTTATGTCAGCATCAGGAGGGAAAATCTCCCTGTTTAATATGATGACATTTAAGGTTACGGAATTGTCATGGTTCGCCTACAAATGTTGTGTAGGATTTTAATGCTGACTGATTTGTGCACTTCCATCTTTTCAGACAATGACAACCTTTATGCCGCCTCCACCGGCTGCAACCTATCTTGCCTTCCATCCTCAGGACAACAACGTCATTGCTATTGGCATGGAGGACTCGTCCATACAAATATACAACGTTCGCGTCGACGAGGTACTACTTCCTTTATTACCACTGGATTATGCAAATTTCTGATTCGATTTGTTGCCTTTTGGGCAGGTGAAAAGCAAGCTCAAAGGTCATCAGAAGAGGGTAACTGGCCTCGCCTTTTCCAGTCTTCTAGATGTTCTCGTTTCATCGGGAGCCGATGCGCAGGTTAGCGACTGCCTTCCCATTTGTAATTACATTACACCTACACTCTAGTTTTCTTACAACTTTTGTGGTCCAGATATGTGTCTGGAGTTTAGATGGATGGGAGAAAAAGGCGAGCAAGTTTCTGCAGATTCCCGCAGGGCGTACGTCAAATCCCATAGCGCAGATGCACGTGCAATTTCACCAGGATCGAACGCATGTATTGGCTGTCCACGAGACGCAAATCGCCGTATATGAAGCTTCCAAACTGGAACTCATCAGTCAGGTACTGTTCCAGAACCTTCCGGCTCTGACTAGCACAACTGAAATACAATTTCTAACTAGAGTTTGTCGATGGCAGTGGGTTTCTCGCGAATCATCTGCCGCTGCGATAACCAACGCAACGTACTCCTGCGACAGCCAGTCAATATACGCGAGCTTTGATGACGGCAGCATCAATGTCTTCGCCAGTGCAGGGCTGAAGCTACGGTGCCGAATCAGCCCCTCTGCGTATTTGCCATCTACACCGAGGTACACATTGCCGTTTCTTACAGAATATTGATGCTACGCTGTATATATAACGTCGTCTAATTCTGCATTGTTCGAATTGATCTGATCAGCTCGAGAGTTTATCCACTTGTCGTGACGGCGCATCCGACTGAACCCTGTCAATTCGCGTTAGGTCTCACGGATGGTGCAGTGCACGTGCTGGAGCCCCTGGAAACTGAGGGGAAGTGGGGTACGGCACCTCCGAACGAAAATGGTGGTGCCGCCGGGCCGAGCACGGCGGCGGCCTCCGGTGGCCTGGATCAGTCGTCGAGGTAGCCAAGACAAACTATGAAGTGGTGATATGGTGTCTTAGTATATCACTCCTTGTTAAGACTAGAATACTTTGTGACAAATGGTGTCTAATATATATATGCATAGTTTGTGTCGGGAATTGGAATAAGCGTCTCTGCGGGCTAACACACGATCATGTGATGTAAGAAAGTTGGGAATGCTGTTTTGTTCATAGGTTGTGCTGTGGGACACTACTGATTGGACTGTGCTTGTGATGTATACTGAAAGTGATATGCATGTAGCGTTGGGCTTTGATTTCAGACAGCAGGAATTATCCTATTTAATGTCTTGCCACGTGGTGGTGATGCAATGCTGCATGCGTCCTCCTCGGCTGACACGTGGACGCGGAATTCCAACACTTAAATGACGCCGTTTTGGCGCATGTTGAAACTATTTATTTATGTGCGGCGGACGCTATAGTCCTCTCGGAGTTTTTTAGATCGATCATGCACGCTGCCAGAATAGAAGGCAAGGCCAGCGAGTTCCGCGCCGCCTCTCAGGCGGAGCAGCATTTATGGGAGAGGAAAGTGAAGGAGTTAATCGCCGACAAGCGGCGACTGGTGGAGGTGCCGTACACGGCGTCGCTCGCCGACACAATGAACGCTCTCCAGGCAAACCGCGTCGTGGCTGTTCCGGTGGCGGCGCCGCCGGGGCACTGGATCGGCGCGGGAGGGTCGATGATTTTGGAATCGGACAAGCAGACGGGAGCAGCGCGGAAGCACTACATAGGGATGGTGACAATGCTGGACGTGGTTGCGCACATCGCCGGCGATTCGTCCGGAGATGATCTGGACCGTCGGATGCAGGTCCCCGTATCTTCGATCATCGGACGGTGCCTGGAGAGCCTCAGCTTGTGGACACTCAACTCCAACACAGGGTAAAACCTAATGAATTTCCCTACCCCCAAAATATTACAATTCATTCCATCCCATCATTAAACGACTGTATTGTCGGCGGCAGCATCCTAGATTGTATGGAAGCTTTCAGCAAAGGAATACACCGAGCTTTAGTTCCGGTCGACAGTCATCTCCTCGAAAGTATAGCCGGAGTCGAACTGGTCGAATCGGCGTCGAGCTACAGAATGCTCACGCAGATGGATCTCGTCACCTACTTGAAGGCGCACGAGAATGAGCTCACAGGCATCCTCGGACGTCCGGTCCGAGAACTCGGAGCGGTCAGCGACATCATTTTCAGCATCACTGATCAGACATCAGTGATCGACGCCATCCGGTGCATGAACAGCGCTTCACTTACTGCTGTTCCCGTCGTCGAATCTACTCCGGAGGAGGAGGAGGAGGAGGAGGAGGAGGACGACGAGGAGGAGGAGGACGATGATGACGATGATGATGATGATGATGGGGAGGATCAAGGAGAGCTTATGAATGTAGCATTTTGTTTATGTTAATTTCGAAATGTACGTAGTTTAATTTGTTGTCCGTTTCTTTCATAAAATCTGTGGATTGTTGTAATGTGGGTTGCAGGGAAAAGGTAGGAAGCCTGTGGGAACTTTTTCGGCGACAGATCTTCGAGGATGTCCAATTTCCGTACTACGGTCTTGCCCACAGATGAAGGTTCTTGATTTCATTGTCAAACTTGGTGAGATCCCATTGCAGGAAGGTCGGAACCTGACAAAGGAACTGGTCACGTGCCGGCCGGAATCCCTCCTCGGGGAAGTAGTGGATAAAGTTGTCAACAACCATGTTCATCGAGCTTGGGTCGTCGATGAGTCCGGGTTTCTTGACGGCGTGGTTTCACTGACGGATATAATCCGGGCGATTCGGGTTTGGATGATTTCTCAGACAGCCGGAGCCTGAGATGGCCCGTTCTCCGGGCTTGTTGGGATCGGACAATGTTGTAACAATCTTAGGAACTACTAATAATGTAAACGTTGTTGCAATCGAAATTTGTTTTGTAGTCTGTACAGTATACAATATTTACTTAATTCTACCTACGAACTAAGCTAATCCTCGGAATCAGAGAGTGGGCAGGAGCCGTCATCAACGTTGGCGAGGGGGTTGAAGAGCGGCGAGCTTGGGTCAGTACATCCGGCTACGAGATCAAGACTGCATCGATCCCCCTGAGCATCAAAGAAACGTTTGTTTGTTTGTTTGAGGTTAAGAATGTTAGAACATGGATGATTGTTTTGTTTCATGGGAAGAAGATAGATATGTGGGAGCTTACTCCTTCTACGGACAGGTTTCCGACCATAGCGCAAGTGGTGGCGACGACATTTGTATCGGGGAAAATGGCTTGTTCGCAGGCGCCTTCTTTGCTCAACTCCTCGGCGAGGCCCTGAAACGGACAGAAAATATTCAGGACGGGAGCAATGTCTGTGGTTGTCTGAAAAGGAGGGAATGCATATTTGACCGTGGTGAAGAATTCAGGGGGCCGATTCTTCCAGGCTTTTGGGACCTGAAACTGGAGCTGGTAGGGGCCGTCCCAGTCGACTCCATTTGTGAAGGAGAAGATCAAACTCGTCGCTGCAATGCAATGCAAAACAGACAGATAACAATGGAGGACAATGATGATCATTGATCATCAAGACAAGACAAGACAGGAAGATATGTGTGTACCGTACCGTGCTTGGGGATGCATATTTGGATGGTGTAGATTGGAGGATCGGCTTTCCCTCGGATCTTCCGAAGCATTGCTCGCGGCTCGCCGCCGCACATGATCGGCTGGTTGAAACCTCCTGCAAACAGAAACCCATTCTTATTGTACTAATATAATTAATTAATGTGATTAGTTACTATATATATACAGTATATATTGTGTTTTTTTGAAACATGTATATGTCAACTATTATGTTATCGATCTTATCGGAATCGTGTCATCTTGATGTGTCCAAAATCAATATCTGTTTTGATTTTCAATAATTGTATTAAATATTAAACATATTCACTCAGCATGCTAATAGTATCCCAGCCCCAATGAAATATCTACGGCATGTAATGTAATAATACCGTTGAAGGCGATGCCGAATTCCAGATTCGGAGCGAGATTGGTTGCGGCCGGATTGTAGAACAGCTTCAATCTCTCTCCCTGTCAAGTTTTTGCATAAACTCTCAATTCAATTCAACCAGATTTCTCATAAGATATATATCAGCTAGAAACAGTGATCTGATGATAGAAGCAATTTTTACTACATACAGCTGTCGGAAGAAGACCGTTCATCGTCTTCCAGTAGACGGCGGCTCGTCCCAAGTCGAATTCGGCCCACGTTGGAAGCGCACATCTGCGGCCTCCAACAAAATCCAGTAAGAATAATACTAGTACAACAACAATAATCAATCACAAATGGCGGAAGCAAAAAGAATCGAGCACTGAACTCACTCCTTAATCTCCTCGACGGTAGTTGCAACGGCTCTTATCTTAATCTCCGTCGTCTTCGCTACCCTTCTCCTGAACGGATTATTGGTCCGCAGAGGAGACCCTGAAAGCCTGTTCGCCGCAATCCGCCATTGATGATCACATGAAGGCCCTGAAGAAATTCAAATCCGTAAAAAGAACCCTAATTAAGAAAAAGAATCAAAATAAAAACCCTAAGTAATTAAATTACCCGCGATTCGATTAGAAATCGATGCTATCTGCTTGGAAGAAGCGAAGAGAGAAGCAGTCGCAGCCGCCATTGTTGGAGCTCGAGGTCAAGTTCAGATTCAACTAAAAAGGGATAAGATATTAGATATTAATCGCAGAGGAACAAAATCATCCACACCATTTTCTCCAATCTCCCAAAATATCTCAGAACACGACGAATTCAAATTCAATAAAATATCTATCAATCAAATCCGGGTCGGACCCGATCCGATCCGGATCCTGAAGATTCAAATTCGGATCCAAATTTATAAAAATGTTAAGAATATCAAATTGCGAGGCCTAGAGAGAGGCGGAGTGCAATACCTAATCTACCCCGCCGCCCTCCCGCCGCCACGGTGTCCTCGTAATTTCCGTCTACGGGTAGGCCGCATCTAAATCGGCGCCAAACTAAAGTGCACGTCTGTCTGTTATGATCCATCAAAGAACACGAACAAAATGACTCTAACCATTCCATGGCCGTGCAAGGCAAGAACACCCACACCCACACCCACACCCACACCCACACACAGACACAGTCGCTCTTCTTCTCCAACCACCATTTCTTCCTTAGCCTTCAAACACAAGCATAACAACAACCTTAAACTCAACAACAATTCGATTTCATTCCCAATAGGAGTCGGAGGAGTTTTTTCCCCTGCAAGAATCCCAATGGCAGCAGACGATCGTGAATACGATGACGGAAAGCCCAGAAATAATCTGCCGGAGAAGACAGACCATCTCCGGCGGAGGAGCAGATTCCTGTCGGAAAAGGCGACGGTGGGAGTGATAATCGGGATGCATCTTCTCTGTTTATGGGCCCCTTTCACATTCACCTGGGGAGCCTTCTGGGTAGCCGTTGGATTATATTTCATTACAGGGCTTCTAGGAATCACCCTGTCTTATCACAGGAATCTCTCTCACAGAAGCTTCAAAATCCCCAAATGGCTCGAGTACTCCTTCGCCTACTGCGGCGCTCAAGCCCTCCAAGTCTGTTCATCATCTTCATCAATTCACATTCATCATCGATCATCAATTTGATTCTTGATTAAACGATTGGGATCTTGCAGGGCAGCCCGATCGATTGGGTGAGCACGCACAGGTACCATCATCAGTTTTCGGATTCGGACAAGGATCCGCACAGTCCCAGGGAGGGCTTCTGGTTCAGCCACGTGGGCTGGCTCTTCGATACCAGATATATCATCCAAAGGGTGCACCCCAAATCATACTAGAATTGTGAATTTGTGATGTGATCCCCTTTGTCCTAATTTTAATTCTGAATTGTTGTTGTAGAATGAGAAGCCGAGCAACGTGGGGGATTTAGAACAGCAAGGTTTTTACAGGTTCATAAAAAGCACCTATGGCGTCCATCCATTGTTGCTGGGAGGCCTGCTCTACGCCATGGGAGGGGCTTCTTACATCGTCTGGGGAATGGTCAGTCCAAAATCACAATCTTTAGCATCAATTTTATTGCAAATTAATTTGTTGGATTTGATTGCAGGGGGTGAGGATCGTGTGGGTGTACCACATAACGTGGCTGGTGAACTCAGCGTGCCACGTGTGGGGGCGGCGCGTGTGGAACACCGGCGACAGCTCCCGGAACAACTGGTGGGTGGCGGTGGTGGCGTTCGGAGAAGGGTGGCACAACAACCACCACGCGTTCCAGTACTCGGCCCGCCACGGCCTCGAGTGGTGGCAGTTCGACATGACCTGGTACGCCGTCCGCCTCCTCCAAGCCGCCGGATTCGCCACCCACGTCAAGCTGCCCGCCGCCGCCCACAAGAAAAGATTGAATATGATCGATATTAATTAATTAGTTATTTAATTTATTGTGTAGTGGCAGTTTTACACAGACATTATGTATGATGTATGCACCCGGACCCGAAGCACCCAAGTCATTCAGGTGCATTTATGAGGGTGTATATTTAGAAATAGTAAAATTAAGTCAAATATAATATTCAACTTTGTGATATTAAAAATAATAATTTAATCAAATATTAAGGGTGCTATGCTGATTTTGTTGGGTTTGTATGTGAAAGAGGAGAGAATATAAAGGAAAATAAAGAGTTTTGTGTCCAACGTTGGGAACACAAATAAATTCACCATGCTTTATTAACTTATAATTCCATTAAATAATAAATGATAAAATTGAATTAGGTTTGGATCCTATGGGTTGGGCTTAGATTAGGTTTGTCCTTGGGCTTTGAGAGATTTATATAATATATCTATATGTGAAGGATGGGTCTTTACATTTTCTGTTAAGCGAAAATTCGGTGATATTTGAAATTGTTATCAATTTGTTATCAAGATTTTTTATATTAACACACGTCATATCTATGCAAGTGTTGATATGATAATAAGTGTGCTCTATACATTAATTCTATAAATATTGTGCTCTATGCATTAATTCTATAAATACTGACATTTTCTGTTTTAATAATAACAAGTATGTAATATACTAAAATCAACTGTTGTGTTGTTGTACGAGACTATAATATGTATTGTTACTTTATGTGTTATATTTCTATTATATTAACATATACAATGTATTATCTGTAGTAATATTGCATGTTGTCTGTAGTAAAATTGTGTTTTGTTGAGACTATATTATGTATGTTTTGTTCAAGCACTGTATTTTTTATTATATATTGTCCAATAGCACACAATATATTAAGCACTGTAGCCGCCGCTGTATTAAGGATGGTGATTTCGCATGGTTTATTAGAGAATTTGTTTAAGTTAGCCATTTCCATTGATATTTAACTTTAAGTATCACATTATATACAAATACAAAATAATAATAATAAAAAAAAGTAAACGTTGTGATTATTTGCTACTTGATTTTTAAAATACATTTGATTTTAGATATTTTATAATTTCTAAAAACAAGGTAGTAATATAGGTGAATTAAATAATGATGAGTATGATTTCATAGTGCTATTCTCAAACAATGGGCAATATTTGTTTTTTGCACGAATTTTTAGGTTGGTAGTATTAAGTAGAATAATTTAGAAATTAGGTGATGTGATGGAGAGAAAAATATATATTTTATTTGGATGATGTGAGGGGATAAAATGTGGGGTAGAGATTAAGTATAATTAATTATTTTTTATTTTGAAAATATTGCAGGATGTTTGAGACATACTTAAAAAAAATATATATATTGCAGGATGTTTGGAACGGAGGGAGGACTTCTTTGAGTATTAAGTTTAGTTTCATTTACTTATATCTCTTCTACCAAGTATGCCTCATTTTATTTGTGTCTAAAACTATTGCAGAGATAAGGACCCTAATGATTTTAGAATTGTTATTGAAGTGTATACGTCTCTATATTTTACTTTGCTAGTATTTCATTTTATCTTTTACTGACTTTTAAGCTTAACCATTGAGTAATACCTGTTTTTGTTTTTATTTTTATTTTTAGATAGGTAAGGACTAGTTTAAATATTTTAAATATTGCTTAGCCAAACTGCATTTCAAGCCAAACGTAACTCTATGATGTATGATGTATTAGGATATACAATATAAAGAAAAATATATATATATATTTATATAAACAATACTTGTGTATAGCATAGAGCACGATTAGTTTAAATAAAATCTAAAAACTACAAAACACAACACAACAGTCTTTCAATTATCTTCATCAAGTTTCAAGCATTCACTCGTAATTCCTGTTTGGTTGTGATTTGATTTTTAAATCACAGTCATTTATTTTATACAATCTTTAACAAAAATATACTCCCTCCATTTCAAAAGTATGTCTTATTGAGTGTTGGCACGAGAATTAAAGAATAATACTATTTAATTAAAAGTGGGTATAAAGTAAAATGTAAAAGACTAAAATGCCATTGTTTTTTTGAAGAATTTTAAAAAGTAAGTTAAAGTAATAATGGTGGATAGTTTGGAAAAGTAGAAATAATTTTGTTATAAAGTGAGGACCACGGTTACTAAATAAGGAAACGAGATAATTGTTTTGGGACGGACGAAAATGAAAAAATAAGACAACTCTTTTGGGACGGATGAAGTATTTTTTATGTTATAAAACATCACATCAAAATACTATTTTCTCCGTCCACTTAGAAAGTACACGGTTGTTTTTTTGTGTTGATATTTGAATATTAATTATTATATCAAAACATACTATAAAGAGTTATTTAGGTCCTGGAGGACCAACAGGACGAACTGCTAATAGCGAAATTTTCGTTAGGGTATTGGAGCAGGCTAGGCCAACGATAGACAATAACTCCCCTCTTAACCCCATTCCGGCCTGGTCCGGTATGAAAAGAGAAAATGTAAAAAATATTTTTTTTAGTCTCTTATGATACAAATAATATTTGTGAAATAAATTATATAAATACAAAAATATTTTTAATATTAAATACGTAAAAATTTATGTGTACTTTCTGATTGGACGGGAAAGTATTAAACATAAACTTAAATCAATACCTCATTTTAATTTAATATCAAATCTCAGCCAAAGAAATGGATATTATTTTATGTCTCGGCGAAGAAGATTATAATAATTAAATAAATTTTATAAATAAAGAATTGTAATATTATTATAAAAAATACTACTCCCTCCCTCCAATAAATATATTCTTAATTGGGTTGGGTATGAGATTTAAGGAATATTGATAGTTGGTAAAAAATATGGATAAAAGATTTTTTTGCCTTTGTAAGTATATTAGTGTAAAAAATAGTGATAATTGTGTAATAAAAATAAAAAAGTAGAGACAATTTTATGGTGATATGGTTATTTATAGAAATAAGACTATTGCTTTGGGACGGATAAAAATGGTAAACAAAGACTATTGTATTAAAACAGAGCGACTAGTATTTTATGTGTTTGAAACGTTGACTTTTATTGTAGATGAGTGGTTACATTATTAACTTCTATTAAACGATACATATTTATTATGGGATGGGATCATCAATCCTTCTTTTTTTCTGTCTCATTTACGCATTCTCACCAAAACCAAAGTAATATATATATATATATATATATGTAATAGTATATAAATATATAATAGGTATGATGCATTCATCTACTTCTTCATTAAATTTTCTCGAAATTAAAAAATAAAAACAAAAACAAAACTGATCATTTTATATCTAATAATAAATCTTGTGATTCTAATAACACTAATAAATTATTAAATCCTCGAAAACAAGCAAGTAAAGAACATCTTCTTCTAATATTATGCCGCATGAAATATACATTTTCACGAGAATATTGCAAAAAAATATCTCACACTTATACCTTATTATCACTTTTGTCCTGTATTTATCTCCCTTGTAAAATATATCCCACGTGTTTACAAAAGTCGCTATTTATGTCCTTTGTCAGCGCGTGAAATTCACACCACGCGTCCTTACGCGCAATCACGCGCGGCCAAATGATAGAAATAGCGACTTTTGCAATATATTTTGCCAGCAAGATAAATACAAAACAAAAATGATAATGGGTTATACTTGTGAGATATTTTTTACAATATTCCCCCATTTTCATTGACTACTTTTATAGGACTGAAACGAAATCGGAAGTGTATTATGTTATACCTAATACAAAAACAATAGAAGAAAAAGAAAAATAATGAACATTAAATTCGAATATAGCTGCGACCAATACGGAGCAAAACCACATCAGCGCCGGCATGGCCAACTTTGAGCCCGGGCGAGAGGTGGTTCGCCCAGGATTCAATATAAATCGAGTCTGTCAAATCTTTATGTTATATATATATATATGTATAGTTATTATATATAGAACATATTTACTTTATTTTGTATTGCTGAAGTTATCTGTTCTAATTCATAGGATTATAAAATTTTGGAATTTTTTTTTATACTATTTTTTCATCTAAATATATTTTATTTAATCATTTAAACTTTTATTATAAATAAAAATATTATTTATATATTTATGGACTCTGTTTTTGTTTTGCCCTTGCTCAGAACTAGCTCTGACCGGCGCATTGTGAAGAAAATATAGCTGGAATTTCGCAAATGGTATTGTGGTCACAGGAGGAAAGAAAGAAATAAATTGCGTGTATGAAAAAAATAAAAAATAAAAAATAAAAATGACTAGCTAGCAATTTTTATTTAATTTTTTGAATTTGATAAATAAATAAATAAATAATTAGACATCCCAGCCTTTGTTGTTAAATGATAGGTTAAATTAGGTATACTGTGTAACTTTTTCTGTGAGTGTTTCTTTGGAATTTATCTCTCCGTTTTTACTATTTTATTTCTTTATTTTTAAGTAAAGTATATATTTTTTTCATTAGACATGAAATAAACTATTATTTAAATATAAAATTCAAACCATTCACCAAAATCAAACGTAAAGAAACATATGAATTCAAAGTTTTTTGTTGTTAAATATAAGAAATTATTTAGATAAAGTAATTTTTATTTGTTTTTGTTAAAATATATTTAGAAGCAATATATTATATTTATGATAGTTATTTTATTTTAAAGATTCGTAGAATTATTTAGACAATTTATATATCACTCTAAATATATTTATGCATTCTTATAATTGAAATAAAAAATTTCAGTTTCATATTCTAACATGGTATCAGACCCAAATTCTCTTCAGGTACCTCCATAACCCGTTATATCTGTATATATTTTTATATTTTATTAATGTATTTGTTTCTATCCACGATCATGATGTTATTTTTATGTCGTCTCCGTCTCTACTACTCCACTGACATAGTCTACTTTCGACTCTAACGCCGTTGAGAGTCTTTTTTTTTACTCTAACTCTATTGAGAGCGAGAGAGTCCTGTTTCCGACTCTAGCTCTATAGAGTGAGCGAGTCCTGTTTTCGACTCTAGTTCCGTTATGAGCGAGCGAGTCATGTTTCCAACTCTAACGGTATAGAGAGTTCTGCTTCTGACTCTGATCCAGTGGACGGCTACACCACTTTTAGTCAATCTTGACAAATTCAAATTCATACGTGGAAGATTTCGGATATATCTTTTTCTGTCACTACTTCTGACAAACTCAAGTTTGTTTTATCATATCTTGAGTTTGAGGAGGGGTATTA